TTTTTCCTTCAATTTTGTGTTAGTTCTCTCCAATTCCCGCCAGCCCTCCACACCGCCAGCTCCGGTTTCAGCTTGCCGAAATTTTCTGGTATGATGGACAGCTTCCTTTAAGTCCAATTTCACCCATTTAATTGCTGAAATTATCCATGTAATTGCGGCCCCTGTATTGTTCAAATTTCTGCCGAAATATAGAAGAAATTGGTGGCACTTCAAGTTGTGTTTTTTAGTTTAATTCAAGTAGAAATCCCTTAATTTAGCTGATGTGAGGTTTTGTATGAAAAATCCCAAGAATTAGCTATTCCTTTGCAAAGTCCGGTTTCTCCATGTTCTTGTCTGTGAGATTGGACAATTTTATAAATGTGTATATATATATATGTGTGTGTGTGTGTGTGTGCAGAATTTGCTTTTAGTGCTCAAATCTTGGAAATACAAATAATAATAAGGAAATAAATATGGCAGTAGATGGGGGTGCAAGTTAAGTGGTTTATAATTGAAAAATGGATTGTTTGTTGAATGTTATATTCTTTTCCCTAGGAATCTTGTTTTTCAATTGGGAGGGAACAATGAGGCTTTGGTTAGGTTCTTGACCCTTTGTTCACTTTAGCACTTGGATTGAGTCTTCGGTTTTATGTAAGTAAGGTAAGTAACTTATGGTAATGCCCAAGATTTAAGGTAAAGCTTTTAAAAGCAAATTTTTGATGGTTTTGAAATGGTGGCGGAACTAAACCCATTTTACACGAGCATAACTAATTTGAAGTGAAATTTTTATGCTTTTCATTAAATTGAGCATGCCTACTTGAAATTTAATTGGTTGTCCTGATAATCTGAAAGTGATTGGTGAATTATGATTTTTCTGTTAACTTCTACCTGTTTTGTCTCTAATATGGTCATGTTATTTGTGTGCCCGCTAGTGGGAGATTTATAAACGCTAGCACATGTCGACATATTATTGATAGAACTGGTTCGTTTCTGTGATACTGTTATCTTGCTAGTGGGATTATACGCTAGTAAATAGTGTCTGCCAGTGGGAGGTTTATAACACTAGCTATGACCTATAGAGAAGACGTCTATTTCATTTCCGTACTGTTTTCATTTTTTTTGTGATTACACTTGTTGGCATGCTATAAGTTTAATTACGAGCTACTCATATTTTACTTACTGAGTTATCTCACCTCGTTTTTCTCGTCCACCATTTCAGGTAGTGTAACTCGAGACACGAAAACCAAGGGGAGTGACCAGGTAGAAGGTTAGCCATTTGTAATCGGATATAAGTTTTAGATATTATCATTCTTTTGTAAGATAGATTTTTCCTTGAGATTTTATGGTATCAAAATAGATTTTGTGGTATGGTTAAGTTTTGAGCCTTGTGCACTTGTGGGACCCGTCTCATAAGTGTACGGTGTCTGCCACGCTCTCGAATTTAAGTTTTGGGGCGTGACAAATATTCGGTGAATTAGACTAACAGAATTCTCGTAAATTTTTGAAAAATGTTAAATATAATATATATATTTTTACTTTTTTACAATATTTTATTTTTGAAGTTTAAATTTTTTGTCAAATGTAATAATTAACTAAGATAAAATTTCAATTTACATTAATTAAGATTTTAATTTTAATTTACAATAATCAATATTATAATTTAAATATTAATATTTTTAATAAATAAATCTTTCTAAAATTTAATTTAATTAAATAAGCATCCACATATAATTAAAATTACTTAAAAAATAAAAATTCATTTTAATTTTATAAATTTTCAAATTAAAAT